CTCGAGACCTTACTTAAGCTGAAACAAATCACATATCACTTAATCCAATATCTCGTTGGTAAGTTTCGTCTAATTTGAGGTAACATAACAAACAATTTGTTGACCGCTAACCACCAGACAGTCAGACATCCAAATTCTTTTTTATTTTTTTTATACAGTTGGGCTTGGATGGGCCCCACCAAGCCCCAAGATGTATAGAGCTATGGAGCAACGTGGCGGTTGATCAGTGCCGGAGAAACGTGTCCCAGTTAGGGACGGCAATTTCCCCCCGATCCTCGCAGGTCCTGTGGGGATCCCTGCTATAGAGATGGGACGAAGAAGAATATTTTTTTTTGCGGGGCGAGGATGAAGAGTATTTTCTTTGCGTGAAAATTGACGAGGACTTTTTCCCATTCCACGGGACCCCATGAGGATCTCCATCCCCGCAAAAAATTTAAAAAATATGTAAATTAATTTTATTTTAAATTTAATTTAATCTTCAAACCTAAATCCAATTCAATAAAATTTAAATTTAATCTAATTTTATCTAATATATTATTAACCTTTTAGTTATTTATGTTAGATTAATCTTTATTTATGTTTAAATAATTTATATTTAAAGAATTTGAATTAATTATACTTAAATTTTTAAAATTTTATTTATTATAATTAAATATTAATTAATTATATGTGAAAAAATTTATTTTTTTATATTAATTGGTGAGGAGTGGAGATCCTTGCGAGAAACGGGAGTGGGGGGCAAAATTTACCCCCTATTAAAAATCCCTATGGGGATTCTTGTCTTCATCATTCACGGGAACGAAGATGGAGAGAGACTCCCCAATCCCACGGACCCGTTGACATCCCTAGTTCCGGTCTTCGAGTTCGTCGCCAGGAAGGTACTTCGAAATGCCGAGATCCAATATTTCCAAATGGGTCCGGGAGTGCATTGAACAAATCGAGTCGGTTCTAAGAGAGGGTGTGTGGGACGAGACTGATATATCGGACATCGTCAACGTCTCAGCTTCACGATTTTTCGGAGACGAAATGGTTTTGTTGGACAATCAAGCCGTCCTCGATGCGCTTCTTCTCAAAGCTGATC